ATTTGATTAAATGTTTCTGCTGTATTTTCTGTGAAAAAACGTTTTGTGATGGTAGCTGCTTGTCCAAGTGGGTTAATGGATAAAGAACCTAAAGAGACATTGGAAATATTCACACCCTTACTGATAACCAGGTCAGGTGTGTCCTTGAGTGTGTGTTGCTTGTTTGACATGTTGTGTTAGACCAAAATTCTCAAATATTAAAGAGCTTTTTTGCCCCTCGGTCTTGGGGTTGTCAACATGAATGTTGAAATCACCAACAATTATTAAACCATTATAATTAATGCATATGAAAGATACAAGCTCATTTGGGTAAAGAAATTTTCCATGTATGTTGGAGTTTTGTATATAGTTGGTGTCAAAGTTCGTTTGTGGCCTTTTACCTCAATACCCAGATATTCAAAGAGGTGAAATGACCCAAAGAGATTTTACTACAATTTATGGCATTCCTAAGTATTAAAACCACGCCTTCTCCTTTTTTATGTTTTCTATTCTCATTTAAAAAATTGTAGTTAGGAGGCACTGATTTCATGAGTACGGTTGGCTCATTATTGTCTTTCAACCATGTTTCTGTCAGAAATAAAACATAATTAAAGCTCCGCGGAGCCTCAAGCGGCCCTCGCAGCCAAGCGCCGCTCAAGCCTATAGCCACCGCGGATGTTCCAGCACCGCCTCCCGCCAGCCACTGCTCACGCTTGCGCGCCCGTCCACCAGGCGATACGCTTTGATGCCTTCTGCAGAGCTCCCTGGCGATGCACCAAAAATCTGGAGCAGATTGGGCCATGTAGCGAGGAGATACAGCTGTTTGATTAACCTAGGGGGCGCAGTGGAGTCAAATTACAATTAAACTCTATTGGGCTCCTTAGAGGTTCACAAGTGTCACTCATACAATGTCTGGTGCAAATCGGATGATGCGTTTGTGAATACGAGACGAACGCATGCATATTACGAGGGACAGCCATTTTGCCACGCCCCCACGGGTCAGTAGAGTTCATCATCAATGAGTTCATCATCATTTCATTTTATGTCAGTCTGCACAGGATTAAACCCATATGAATTAGACTGTAAGACATACGTTTGAAAAAACATGTTACTTCCTTTCGGAAGTGGGCGGGGCAAAGGTGACGTCATCAATCGACCACCTAACTATGATGAAGGCTGGTCTATAATGAGACATAGAAAGTCTGATGCAGCTGTGACCTGGCATTTGGAAGTTATTTCACATTCATGTATCATGGTGAATAGTCAAAGTTTGGGACTTATCCACGCTTAGTCCCAAACTTAGCAGTAGGCATTTACAGAGTTCATCATCATCTCATTTTATGTTAGTCTGCACAGGGGTGGAATCCATGACACACCAACATGTTTTAGAGTGTAAAAGTAAGACATACAGTAGAAAAAACAGGTGACTTCCTGTCGGAAGTGGGCGGGGCTAATGTTATGTCATCAATCGACCACCTAACTGTCATGATGGCTGGTCTATAATGACACATAGAAAGTCTGATGCATCTGTGACCTGGCATTAGGAAGTAATTTCACATTCATGTTTCATGATGTATATTCAAAGTTTGGGACTTAGCCACGCCCCCACGGGTCAGTCGAGTTCATCATGGGAGAGTTCATCATCAGATCATGTCATGTCAGGCTACACCGGATGAAACCCATATGACTTAGAGAGTAAAAGACATACAATAGAAAAAACAGGCTACTTCCTGTCGGAAGTGGGCGGGGCTAAGGTGATGTCATCAATCGACCACCTAACTGTCATGATGGCTGGTCTATAATGACACATAGAAAGTCTGATGCATCTGTGACCTGGCATTAGGAAGTAATTTCACATTCATGTTTCATGATGTATATTCAAAGTTTGGGACTTAGCCACGCCCCCACGGGTCAGT